CCACCCTTTTCTTGACATTACGGTGGTATATGGAGTGTGGAGCCTCGACTTTCACATCACACTAGACTAGGATGTGTCACTGCCAGCAAGTTTGGACTGCTGACACAAGGTAGATGGAAATCTAACATTTGCAAGACCCCACTTACCTCATCACCAAAATTATACTAGCACCCACCTACTAAAACTGTAGAAATAACCAAGCAAATGCCACTGGACCAGCTTCTGATTCATCAAATTCATTCGAGAAGAAACTTGTCATGATCGTGACAACACTTGAAGCAACCATCTGATTATTGCCAACGAAGTTGGTTTTGTCAATGTTACCTAATTGTTCATTAAGTGAACAATCTACCAGCAACCAGAAGAACAGAAAGGTAACACGTCTGCTGGGTCTGTCTAAGATGATAATGCAAATTGACGTAGTCCCACTGTCACGGAAAAATCCTTACGCTCGCCAGCGGTACCGACTTGTCCGTGCGGCGCCTGTAGTTTCCCTCGCTGCAAGCCAGCCTATTTCCTTTCCCAGATTTTCAAGCACGATCCTGTGCCTGTTGGTGGGACTCACCCATGAGGCTCGCCCCAACTTGTGCCGCCCGTAAGATGTCTAGGCACTTGGCCCTAGACATGTCGTGGCGCTTCATCTTAGGATCATAATCCATGCGCGCCCTGGGGGATTGGCTTAGGACATGTTTGTCCCTCGCCCAAGACCGAGCATCGCTCCCGCGTGCACAACCCAATCTTCAAGCTTGACACTCGCTTAGTGCATCCGCAACTAGCTCGCGTCTCGCCCGAGTAAGGCAACTTTTAGTCCTTAGCCATTGTCATGCGCGTCTTTCGTGCCATGACCATACATAGCCCTCGCGACACGCTTCCATCCCGAATAGTGCAGTGTCGCACCACAACTGCACCTTTAGGCCATCGGACCCTTGCTTGCATGGTTGAACCCAAGCCATGCTCACAAGTCGACACATGATGCCCCTAAGATAGGTGCGTCAAGTATCCAATCGGTACGGAGGTCTCCTTCCAACATTCGGCAGCCCACGGGGCTGGCCGTCCCACACATCGAGCCTTCAACGCCTACTTGATGCCCAACGCTAGCCCAAAGGCGTTGCGCCGTCCATAAAGTTCTCTAACTCGTATGGATACCTAGGACACTCATTTGAGTCATCCAGGCAGGCCCTTGAGGTTGCTCCCAAGGTAGCTCGTTCAATACGGCTTGGTGGTAGCACGTACGGGGGAGGCAGGTCAGAGCTTTCATCACCTATACCCCCTTATATATGCTTAAAATTAAAAAGTCCAAGTTGCCCGAGTAGACATATCTACGTCAGACAATCAGAAGAGCCTTTTCTTACCAGTTCTTGGCCGAAGTCACAACCCCAAAGTGCGGGTTGTGACATTCTCCCACACTCATTATGTCATCGTCCCCGATGACACATCATGGCCTACGACATCCCGGAGTCTGCCCCCTCAGGTATGTACATTGCGGCTCCCTTTGTCCTGTGGGTTGGACTTCCTCGAAGTCCTGTCTCAAAAGGAGTCGTGCCCCATGCACTTCTCCCCCAAGTATCTCCCAAGCGTGCCTCTGCACTTCACCTCCATTCGGTGTTCACTTGGAAAGTGCCTCCGCACTTGCACCCTCTGGTGTCTCACTTTGTAGTTGACCCACACTAGTCAACTACACCATGACCCTCACGGCCTTCATGTCCGTCTGAAGCTTTCCCTTCACAGGTAAGCACATCAACATGCTCTTTGGCGCGACTCTAGTAGCTCAATCGCTCACGTAGCCTTCAAACGCCTCCGGCATAGCTCCCGTAGCCTTTCGCTCCCGTAGCTTTTCCTTGCCCTCATTACCTTGAAGATGTGTTGGCTTCCGGACTCACAACTTCGCCCTTATGCCTCATGCATAGGCGGGATCCTCCCACACTCAATGTGGAGGATGCATCTTAGCGCTGTCGTCCCACTCGGCATTTGGCCAGCTCTTGGGACGACTCTTGGTGAGTACCACATTCTCAAAGTCATAGCATCGCCGCATTCCCGAACAACGTTCTTTGTTTTCCAACTATCACTTCCTCAGCAAGTACCCAATGCTCCCGGTAGTACTTCAATACTCGCCCTATAGACAGGTACTCTCTTGGTCCTGCTAACACGGCGTCCCGGTTCGATGTGCCTCGCACTTGGACTCTCAACGGTTCCCAATCATTCGGCGTACCCCTTTCCAGAATGATGACATCTTCCAACTTGGAAATCCGCCCAATTCCGAAGCTTCGCTATACCCTCGAATTCGTTTCCTCACCTTGGCAATGCCCTCAGGCAGCTCACAAGTCTATCCCGAAGGAAAGACACTCAACTGATGCATTGCACGCATCCTTGGCAAGATCTCCGCTATGATCATGCCCAAAGTTTATAGTCCACGGCTCCCACTCTTTTGCAATATGGTTGCACGACCTGGCAAACATGGTCTTCTCTTGACCATCCGACTTATCGGCATATTACCACATTCAGTAGCGACCTAGACTTTCGAAAGACAATGGAATCACCCATTTCTTTCTTGGACCAGCAGTATCGGGTTCTCGATCTCTGGTGGCATATGAACATCAATCTCTGCTTTGACATGATCTCCGCACTGACATCCAAAATGCACTCGCCATATCCACCCTTGCCTTGACATTGTGCCATGGCATAGTATGGCCTTAACCAGCTTTGATACCACGTGTCATAGGCCGACTTCCTTACGCTCGCCAGCGGCACCGACTCGCCCGTGCGACGCCTGCAGTTCCCCTCGCTGCAGGCCAACCTATTTCCTTTCCCAGGTTTTCAAGCACGATCCTGTGCTTGTTGGTGGGACTCGCCCATGAGACTCGCCCCAACTTGTGCCGCCCGTAAGATGTTTAAGCACTTGGCCCTAGACATGTCGTGGCGCTTCATCTTAGGATCACAATCCATGCGCGCCCTGGGGGATTGGATTAGGACATGTCTTGTCCCTCGCCCAAGACTGAGCATCGCTCCCGCGTGCACAGCCCAATCCTGAAGCTTGACACTCGCCTAGCGCATCCGCAACTAGCTCGCGTCTCGCCCGAATAAGGCAACCTTTAGTCATTGGCCATTGTCATGCCGTCTTTCGTGCCATGCCCATACATAGCCCTCGCGACACGCTTCCATCCCGAATAGTGCAGTGTCGCCCCACAACTGCACCTTTAGGCCATCGGACCCTTGCTTGCATGGTTGAACCCAAGCCATGCTCACAAGTCGACACATGATGCCCCTAAGACAGGTGCGTCAAGTATCCAATCAGCACGGAGGTCTCCTTCCAACATTCGGCAGCCCGCGGGGCTGGCCGTCCCACACATCGAGCCTCCAGCGCCTACTTGATGCCCAATGCTAGCCCGAAGGCGTTGCGCCGTCCATAGAGTTCCCTAACTCGTATGGATACCTAGGACACTCCTTTGAGTCATCCAGGCAGGCCCTTGAGGTTGCCCCTAAGGTAACTCTTTCAATACGACTTGGTGGCAGCACGTATGGGGGAGGCAGGTCAGAGCTTTCATCACTTATACCCCCTTATATATGCTTAAAATTAAAAAATCCGAGTAAACAGATCTACGTCAGACAATCAGAAGAGCCTTTTCTCACCAGTTCTTGCCCGAAGTCACAACCCCAAAGTGCGGGTTGTGACACCCACACTACAATAGTAGACGTCAGTTGAATATCCTAAAGTTGAAAATTTGCAAAAGCTACTCAAGGAACCCATATCACAGCTTTGGCTTGAGTGAAGGAGCCCTAATTTGATGAGCATCCACGAGCATATAAAGCCACTACATGGCGAGGAGCGAGAATGACCACTAAATATGTATGACTTTTGTGAGGTCAATTTCAGGGATTTGATGTTCTATGTTTCACCTAAACGCATTACCGTGACCAAAAATTGGCAGCTAGAGAACTCTGAGAAAAAAGACAGTCACAGCTGCAAAGCAACTTAACTAAAGCACTCCCTTACCTCCAAGATGATTAAACATTGGACACATCTATAGCCCCTATGCCAGTAAGTTAGAAGTTCGCAGACTACATAACCGTGGAAATATAGATGCCGCATATAAGAGTATGATCAATTTGCTCTAGGTTGTTTAGGCCAGCTGAAAACAGGGTAAAATGGTAGTCTGCTGCTAGTTTCCCCCGATCACCATAACATGACAACCAAAAATTCATTTCTGCATTTCAAATATATGCAACCACGAGTAAATAATAAACTCAAAGGTTATAGAATCCAACATCCAACTACTGATATTTCTTTAAAATTAGATCTTCTTCAGATCCTTTTCAGATTGGCATCAGCTCTTAAGCCTTTCAATGATCTGATTAATTCCATCCCCTATGCAAAACAGATTGAATCTAGCAGTCAGTAATAGCAACTGCAACACAATTCTACTGTTAGGTTCTGATGTTCACAAGAGCAGCATCCACCAAGCGAAACAGTACGAATGAGGAGCTATGCTGCGAATGACATTTGCACAGCGCAACTAACAGAGAAGACAAAATTAGAGGAAGTTCAATTATTGAAAGGAAGGAACCAAGAAAGACTTTTCTTTTTTTTTGAATTTTTTGGACCAAGAAAGCTTTGATGGGACATTATTGGGCAAGCGTAGAGAATTGGAACTAGTTAAGAACAAGCCTACAAATCAACAGGGACAAATCTATTGGCAATCGGAGTTTCAGAGAAACATATAATGACATTATGAAAAGAATTACTAGGACAATTACCTAGCACAGGAATGCACATAGTTGAGAAATTGTCATCCCATTAGCAGTTGAGAAATTGTCATCCCTACAGTTCAATGTATCATTTGCAACAGTTAATGGTAGAATCACCAACATCAATGTTCTTAGGATACTTCGACCAGCAGTATGATGTATGATGAATTCTTTCTTAGCCACTGGGAGCCATCTAAACAGAGTTTCACCTTATACATTCTTCCCTTGATCATCACCACATAATAGGGAAAATCAACTCTATGGCACCACCATTAATATATTCTTTGAAGGGTAACAACACTTTTGAATAGATGGCAACCAACAAAATTAGATAAACAAAATGGAGAGGCAATAGAATCAGTCTTTGGCCTTCTCAAACCTATATGCTTATCCATATGAGCAACTAAAGCTACGCAAATGTAATTATGACAAATCACAATTATAAAACTACAGGACGACTTTATAGCCACTAATTCGAACCAAAAGCTTCCCCTTTTCATCTTTTCTCATCAACCAATTGTAAACTCCAAATTAGCGGGTAGTGAATGAAAGAAAGAAAGCAATCTACCAAACTTTATGTGGATACATCTGATTGCCTCTAAATCCCAAACTTGTTGAAGTTTATTACTATGAATCCTCTATATTACTGAACTTTTAGTAAAGAAATGAGTAGACCACTATGATCGAAATTCACATCCAAGGGGTGCTATCTTATTTAGACATAGTTCAAATTATATCCCTTTAGCAAAACAAGCCACAATTGGGACATAAACTGAAAAAGAAAAAGGAACTGAAGCTAGAGATTTATTGTACAAAAATAAGGCGTCCAGCCTCACCAATATCAGCACCATCCACGTCTTCTTCATGTGGGTCTTTGGGGACCGTGACCACCAGATCGCCGTCGTTAAAAGAGGCGGTAGCCAGCTCCGGTAGAGTTGACGGCGGGAGACGGAATCGCCACAAGTCGAGCTCAAACTCACCTAAAGACGAATCCAAAACATTATCCCCTCGTATCACAATCTTAGTAACACCAGGATAGATCTCAACTGTGTGGGCCCTAATATTATCCCCAACGTTATCATCCGTCGGGATAACGAAACGCAACGAATCGGGGCTCTCTTGGATAGACACGTCAGCATCGGAATGGAACGGAAGTTCTAGAACCTTCGCGAAGATGTGAGGAAGTCGACGGAGCTTCTTTTGACGGCCGGATGCTATGGCGTTGGCCTGAGAGAGTGCCGAAACGATGTCGTATCGTAGCGTGATGTTGCGTTTTCTTGGTACTGGATGAACCTTCATTGTTTTAAGCTTATAAGAAGAAAAGGATAACCCTTTTTACAATTATTGATCAACACAATTTTTTTATAAAGCTATGGGGAATTGCAGAGAATAGTATGTCTGTGTAAAATGTAGTGGAAATTCTTGGCTTTGGATGGAAGAGAAAGAAGAGTGCAAAGGGTTAAAAGACTAGAAAATGGGAAGTTGAAACTTGTTGGGAGATTGATTCTTTTTAGTTTCGGGCGGGTTTTAATCCCCCAACAAACGGGTTCGAAGGTGTTGCTGTACGAAAAGTTACCCATTTGGCCGGTCAAGAATAATAATATTCCCTAGTAAATATACAAAATACTATATATAAAATAAATATATTATTGCTTGTTCGCAAAACGATACAGTTAAATTTATTACGTGATTTATAGACAAGCGAACTTTATTTGATCGAAAAATCATAAAGAAATAAAATAAAAATAAGACTTAGCAATAGAAATTGAAAAAGACGACAAGCCTCGTTCCGAGCGTAATGCCTCTGAGGACAGACATAAAAGCAATGGTAAATAGCAAATAAAGTTATTTAATTGAGAGTAAAATATAGCATATGTTTCTCCAAGAATTTATGTTTCTTACAAGGGCTGTTGAGCCTACTATTTATAGCTATTCCTAAGGAAACAAGATCCTAGGATCAAGCCCCACTTACATGACAATAAAAGAGTCATTGATGAATATGTAACGACAGGCTATGAATGCAAATATTCTTTGCAACGGTTGCCCATTTAATGTTAGAGAATATTCTCTCATTGAATGTTATCCGATGGCAAATACTCGATTTACTCCTGTTGACTACGCTCCCTTCGGGTCCCTTCGGGATTTACCCGATCTCGATTGCAGTTGTTGTTCCCGGTACTGGTTGTTACTTGACTCGTCTTTTACCTGTCTTTGGTTCCACGTATCATGCTATCATTCGACCATTTATTATAAATCAATTTTACCCCTACATATAGTCCCCCTACTTTTCGGCAACACATCTTTGTGTCACCGGAAAGTTGGTGAAAATTCCTTTTTTGGCAGGAAAGTTCCTAAACAATTTTTGACTCTTGAAAATACGCAAGTCTTCTCGCATTTAATACTCCGAACATGTGTTTCCCCCACGATTCAGCAACTATTTTCGCCGATTTTTTAGATGATCATGACAACGATTTTTGCCGTCTATAACTTCACTTCTTTACTTCCAAAGTTTTAGTTTTCATAAACCCTTGTTCTTCTCTGCACTTACTCTGCATTTGCTTAGAAAGTTTTCCATCTTCTTCAACGTTCTTTGCAAAAGTTTTTTCTGATACACTATTACCATGGCTTCTTTCACTCCCCTTTTTGGAAACTCTGGTCTTTTCTTCGGTGGAGGCCCGAAGTGAAACAAAGACAAAGAAATTGATGTCGATTCTGAACCTCCTACTGTAAGCACCATCATACCAAAGCAACTCAGTACAACTAATGACTTCCAAGAGAAGTCCCCTTCTGTGTCTTCACGGACTTGGGTTGTTAGTAGGTACCCCTCATCCATTCGCTCTTTTAGTATTCCTACTATAAAGGAGGACTGCAACTTCTATAACCTTGACATCCTCACTCCGAATATGATAGAGCGGGTTACCTTCACCAATGAGGATTTTACGTATGTCTATACGTATCCCTTTACGTTGGGTTCGTTCTTCCTGGGGTGGTCGAATGAAGGGCTAGAATCCGTAATTTTGGAGTTTTGCCATCGGTACCTAGTCTACTTGGCACAAGTAGGCCCATCTGTATGGCGAACGGTGGCTTGCCTTCGCCAGCTGTGCACGAAGACCGGTGAAACTCTTACCCTTGCACACATGATGAATCTTTACTCCCCTAAAATTTTCTGTGGGAGAGTAATAAACTTCAGCAAACGTGGTTACCACGCTCTCCTCACCAGCGTAGATGATGACAATGATCTCGGGTAGATGGAGCGATTCGTCATCATCGCTACCCGGGACATCATCTCGGTCATAGCTCCATCCTTTCCCAAATCGTGGAATCGCTTTAGTAAGTTTATGATTTATTGATTGTGAGCACCTAATTTTTGACCGTGCTTGAATATTTTCCGCTTCCCAGACGTGTCCCCACTCAACTTTTTTTTGTCCCCCATGCTTGCCCCCTACACTTTGTCCCCTCTCATTTCCCTTGTCCCCCACTTACAAATCCCATACCCTATTTTCAGCCAAACAAAAGCTGGATGTCGCCCCTCTCTTTTGTTTTCTCTCATTTTTTATACACTCTTTTGACTCTACTCTGACAGAGACTGGTCACTCTCTCATCTACACCTCACACACACTCACTCACCACATACACGAGGAAGCCATAAGAACCAGCTCAAAAACGTCCCCTATTCACCTCAAAAACAACGGCAAAAACTCGTAAAAACAG